TGGCTTCATCTTCCTCTTCAAGTGGATCGAGGAGCGAAGATCTCGACGTAAAGTCTCCACGCTGGTGGATGAAACCTCTGTTATCGATGACGAGATTGTTAATGACATGTTTTTTGCTCACCAAGTGAGTCCCTATTGATTTAGTTCATTATTTGGAGACAAACTGATAATATTTGCATTGCAACATAAATCTGCAGGTATTATCCACATTCTCTATAGTCTGTTTGTCGATTGTTGTGTGCAGCTGATACCGAACTCCTGTGCCACTCACGCTCTTCTGAGTGTGCTTCTGAACTGCAGCGGCGTGGAGCTGGGAATGACTCTGAGCCGGATGAAGACTTTCACCAAGGGCTTCAGTCCTGAGGTTAGTTATACACATAAAAACAAAAAGATCATTTTTGGACACTTAAAGAGACAGTTCACCCAAAAAATGAAAATTCTGTTATTACTCACCCTCACGTTGTATAACTTACTTTCTGCTGTTGAACACACAAGAAGATATTTTGAAGAATGCTGGTAACCAGATTGTTGACGGTAGCCATTGACTTCCATAGTATGAAAAAAATACTATGGAAATCAATGGCTGCCGTCAACTATTTAGTTACCTTTATCACTTTAAGTCATGTTTAAGAATGTCTGAATGTCAACAAAGTAGCATAGCACACTTATATCTTCTCCATGCCTGTTTTGAAGCACGTCTGTATGTTTTGACTTATCAGAGTAAAGGTTACGCCATTGGAAATGCTCCTGAGCTAGCAAAAGCTCACAATAGCCATGCCAGGTAGAGTCAAGCTTTACTCTCTTTTCCCCACTAACATAGAATAAGTCGATTTTGCACAAGCAATCTTCGTTGTGGTCTAAATCTGCTGTTTTATATTTACTGTTTTTGTCTTGTTTACATGTAGACCGGAGCCGCGGCACCTGCCGGAGAAACAGAACGGCATCAGCGCCGTGCGGACGATGGAGGCGTTTCACTTTGTCAGTTACGTGCCAATCAAAGACCGGCTGTTTGAGCTGGACGGGCTGAAAGCGTATCCCATCGACCACGGTGAGAACTTAAACTCACAAAGGACAGTTTTACTGACAATCGGGAGAAGATTAGATTAAATGAATCTGTCTGTCTCCCTCAGGGCCATGGGGTGAGGATGAAGAGTGGACGGATAAAGCCAGACGGGTCATAATGGAGCGAATAGGACTGGCCACTGCTGGGTAAGAGCGAGACTGATCAATATTCATATCTCTGATGGGGATATGAGGAAAATGATATATAGACGAAATTGCAATTTATTTGTGTTAAAAATGTATACATCATCAAGAATATTGCCAAATTTGAATGCACGTTGTAGTTTTTTTTTCTCTCTCTAGCATATCTGATTTGTCTTCTCTCCCCTCAGAGAGCCCTACCATGACATCCGGTTCAATCTCATGGCGGTGGTTCCAGATCGCAGGATAAAATACGAGTACAAGCTAGACATCCTGAAACAAAACAGGCAGATCGTTCTGGAAGGACTCCAGCAGGTTAGGGAGAAAAAAGTGAGGAAAAGCTTTTTTGTTTGTTTGAATAAAATCCAAATTTTGTAGTATCAAACGTGAACAATTTTTCAAGGTCAGCAGTAAATGTTTCTGTACACCAATGTACGTGCTACAGGTAATTCGGATGACCCAACAAGATTCAGGCCAGGATCGAAAGCAACAAGACTCCTCCTCTTCAGAAGACACGCCCCCCACTGTAAAAAAGGAGGAGGGGCAAGATACGCCGATAGCGTTGTGTGCAGAGCAGGCCACACCCACAGGTACCCTATTTGAATTTAACCTAATTTGAATGTTTTATATGTATTTAAAATGAGAACCTTTTGATTAAGGCCTGTTATTGCCAAGAATTACATGTGTAGAGAAATAAGTAAATGGAAAAATTTTGCTTCAAAACACACAACAGTCTGTGTGAATAGGTCTTTATAGTCATGTATAAATATAGTTTAAGCATTATTCAATAATGTAGGGATTCAAAAAAGAATCTAAAACATGTCCCATGATACTTCAGAAACTCAGGAAGGAGCCGCTGCTTTACCAAGTCCGGCTGGAAAAGTCAGACCCATGGCTAAGCCTACCACCTTGCCAACAGGGGGCGCTCCGCCACCAGCACCTCTACCTGTTCCCAACCCCATCGTCCAGCGTCTGCCAGCCTTCCTGGACAACCACAACTACGCCAAGTCCCCCATGCAGGTAAGATCGGTTACATTTCAGGATATCTGGAATAGTTAGTATATGTGCTTTCATTCCGTAAGCTTGTTGATTGGCAGGAAGAGGAGGATCGTGCTGCGGGAGTGGGTCGCTCACGCCTACCTGGCCCCTCAAAGCCCCCTTATTCTGATGACGAGGATGACGAGGATGACGAAGAGGAGGAGTGTAGCACTTCAGGTGCCACAAGCAGGTATAAAACTTAAGAAAGTGTTGAATTTCCACTTTAAATTTAATGTTCTTGCAGTGGTAACAAACCTCCAGTACTCAAGAGGGCGATATAGTTCCTTCAAATGTCTGTATTGAGAAACTGAAAGTGTTATTATTCAGCTAAATATAAACATAGTGACAACTTGACAACCTTTACCTAACTTGCTTGGCAACTTTTTTTTACCATGACAGTAGTAAGTAGTAGAAAATTACAGTAGAAGAAGAAAAATTGTGCAAAAGCCCGCAATAGCGGCAATGACATATTTGCATTCATGTACATACATAGAGTACTTTTTGGACCTTCATTGGTTGTCTGTGTGATCGGCAGGGCCCGAAGAAAGGTTGGTCTACGTACACGCACCATGGGCCGCAGTGGAGTGGGTGCGGTTGCGGCAATGGAGGGTCAGCTAGCACTCAGTGTTTTAGCTGAGAAACTCAAGAAGGAAGTCCAAAGGAAGGACTCCATGGCAACAACGGTTTCCACACCTCTGAATGTACGTACCGAGGGTCGCACAGGTGGAATCAGCATCACCTCGGCCTGCCAGCCATCGCCCACGCCCAGTAACGAAAGCACGGATACGGCCTCAGAAATCGGCAGCGCATTCAACTCACCATTGCGCTCTCCCGCACGATCGCAAGCAGCTACACGTCCCTCCAGCCCTGTGGTGCCCCACTTGAGTCGTGTTTTGTTTGGAGAAGAGGAGGGGCTGCTCAGGTTAGACGCCCGACACAATCGAGCCGTCCGGGACTTGGGGGCGCTAGTGAGCTCCACAATACTGCGACTGCAAGAGGATGGCGCCATGTACGCCTTGCCACCTACAGGTACTTGTTCACAAAACCGTGAGATTTTATCAACTGAAATTTATTTCGCAGAATACTTTTTTTTGCACACTGGTTTGGGTAACCTCAATCTCATTTGACAGAAATGTTGGAAGGGTTAAAGAAAGTAGGCGGTGCGGAAAAGAAAGAAAAAGAAGAGACGACTGGTCAAGGAGGAGAAGAGGAGGTGAAGGAAGGACCATCGGTGGAGATGAAACAGGAGGACGTCAAAGTGTCAGTGGATGTCAAACCCGAAAAAGAGAACCTGCCGTCCGCCAACGCTGAAACCAGCACCAAACCTCCTGGAGAAAAATATACTCCAAAAGTAAGACACCAGCTATTTGTTTTCTTTCTGCATCACTCTGTTTCTCATTAGCAACGTTTGCTACGAGTTAATGAGGGTTTCTCTCACACAGGAGTTGCTGGCCTTGCTGAAGTACTTGGAAGCAGACATTGTCAACTATGAAGTGTGTTTAAAAGAAGAAGTGGAGAAAAGGAAAAAGTATAAGGTAAGGTTTCATGTGAACAAGAAAATGATTTCACAGGACTTTCCAGAATGATTTTCTGATGATTTTGTCCTTTTTCAGATCGATGACCAAAGGAGGACTCATAACTACGATGAATTCATCTGCACCTTCATATCAATGCTGGCACAAGAAGGTAAAAAAATGTTCTTTCTTCCCTGGAGTGCGAAATAAGATGTTTTCGAGAATCTTCATATGTCACAAAAATGGCAGCGTGAAAGTTCTGCTAAACGTCGCCTTTTGTGTTCCATGAAAGAAAGAAAGTCTTAAGGACTGCAACAGCATGAAAGTAAATAAGGACGCTATTCCTTTAGTCCAGTGGTTCCCAACTATGTTCCTGGACCCTTCCAACACTGCACATGATCTTCTTAATCAAACACACTTGATTCAGGTCATCAGCTCAGTAGACACTCGGGTGTCAGACAAAGGAGACATGTGTTGGGAGGGCTTCAGGAACATGGTTGGGAACCTCTGCTTAAATCAAATGTCCTTTCTGTGTTGTATAGGTATGTTGGCGAGTCTGGTGGAGCAGAACATCTCTGTGCGTCGCAGACAGGGCGTAAGCATTGGCCGGCTCCACAAACAACGCAAACCCGACCGGCGGAAACGTTCACGACCGTACAAAGCCAAGCGCCAATAAATGCTAAAAAAGAACCGAATGGCAGCAAATCGACAACACAATCTTTCTGAAGCATTGTCCAGAGACATTTCTGAAGATGAACAACGCTACCAAACACCTCATTGACAGTGTTAGATATTGATTCAAATATTGTTTTGTCTAGCTTTGTTTCACATAATAAACCCATATAAAAGTACATCACCACTTCTAAACCAAATTGGTGATGCGCAGAAGATGTTTAGAGATGTTTTACTGAACCATTTTTCATGTTGCCATATGGAATCATTACTTCATGTGCTGTATCAAGCTAATCATTAAACCAACAATCACTGGAGCGCCAAACTGGGAAAATGTCTGAGTATCTTGACTGAGTATCAGGACTGGTCTGATTCAGGCTCTAAATTACAAAGATTCCAAGGAACATTAATCTCCAGAAATCCTAAATATCTACTCAAGGTGCTACCAAAGATGACGGTGCTCCAGGTTCACTCAAACAGTGCTGGGTATATCTGTCGTTAACAAATGGACCAATCTGTATGGAATTCTAGAGATACGCTTTTCGAAGTTCACCGCCGTTTTGTTCATAAGTATAGTAGACAAAAAGTTTTAAGACTGTAAACTTGGTTGGTTTGTGAATGTGTATCGGTTCATTTCAAACAAATCATTGCTGCAAGAGTTAAATAAGAAATGTTTTTGTTTGAAGTTGACTTGTTCTTCAGAATTTTCTGGAAGATTGTTTTTGTTGGTAAGGAATAGGCCAGCGGGTTTAGTCTCAAACATGTTCTGTTTGTTTGTACATATGTATTTGTG